AGCCGGGGGGGGGGGGGGTGTTAGTGGAAGGCTTTCTAATCCGGTGGGAGGGAGGGGTGGGTTTTAGCAGGTATTATTGGAAGGCTCTCTTGGCGGTGCTGTGATGTTGGTCGGTGTCAAGCTCTCTCGGCAGGGAGGTGGAAGGTCGACAATTTTTGTGTTGCCTAGATCAGCACAAAACCTAAATACACAACTGCCTATAGTAGAAATGTGAAAATTGCTCTAGTCCATAAAGGATATACAAGTACGAGACTCGACATGGTTAACCTCCCTAGCGGTATGATTATTTCAGTTTTTTGGTGCTGAAAGCGGGTACCATTTTTTTGCATGGCAATATGTATTTTTTTTATTGTAGCCCTGTAATTTAGGAATAACTCCCTGAAATCTGTCCGAACAAGAGTCTAGTAAACATCCCGGGTATGATAAAACTTGAAACACGAAAATCAAAATTATCATTTAATAAATAATCATAAAAAATAATAATATAATTATTATTATTATTATTATTACTACGAGTTTATATAGCGCCAAAGGGTTTGCTCAGCGCTGTACAATAGGGGGGACAATACATGGCACAGTACAACAACAACAAACAACGTACGAGGGGTAAGAGGGCCCTACTCTTACGAGCTTACAATCTAGGAGGGAGGGGGTAAAGGTACAGTAGGAAGTGGCTGAGGGGGATGAAGTGGTGGGAGGAATGAGGGAGGATGGCCGTTAGGTGAGGGTGGGGTAGGCTTCCCTGAAGAGATGGGTTTTGAGGGAGCGCCTGAATGTGAATAGGGAAGGCGACAGTCTGATGGATTGGGGCAGTGAGTTCCAGAGGATGGGGGGAGGACCTGGAGAAGTCCTGCAGTCGTGCATGGGAGGAGGAGACCAGGGGAGCAGGATAGAAGGAGGTCCTGTGAGGAGCGAAGGGTACGGGTAGGGTGGTACTTGGTGATCAGGTTGGTGAGGTAGTCAGGGGGCAGTGTTGTGAACGGCTTTGTAGGTCAGGGTTAGGAGTTTAAATTTGATGCGTTGGGCAATCGGGAGAGGTGAGTGATGGGGGGGGGGAGGTGGGGGGGGAGGTGAGGGGGGGGGGTGGATGGGTGTCGTCAGCATAGAGGTGATAGTTGAAGCCGTGAGATTGTTGAGTTTGCCCAGGGAGGAGGTGTAGATGGAGAAGAGAAGGGGTCCAAGGACAGAGCCTTGGGGGACCCCAACAGAGAGGGGGGGGAGGGAGGGGGAGGTGGCACCATTGTAGGTGACACTGAAGAAGCGTCGGGATAGGTAGGATGAGAACCAAGAGAGAGCAGTATCTCCGATGCCAAGGGAGAGTAGTTTATTAAGGAGGAGGGGGGTGGTCAACTGTGTCGAAGGCCGCAGAGAGGTCCAGGAGAAGGAGGACAGAGTAGTCGCCCTTGGCTTTGGCGTTGAGTAGGTCGTTAGTGATTTTGAGGAGGGCAGTTTCGGTGGAGTGTAGGGGACGGAAGCCGGACTGTAGAGGGTCAAGGAGGTTATTGTCTGTAAGGTGGGCGCTTAGGCGATCGTTAGACTATGCGTTCAAGGAGCTTGGAGGTGAGTGGCAGCAGAGAGATGGGTCTGAGGTTGTTGGGGTCCGCGGGATCCAGGGAGGGCTTTTTGAGGATGGGGGTGATATGCGCGTGCTTTAGGGGGGAGGGGAATACGCCAGTAGAGAGGGAGAGATTGAAGATGTGGGTGAGGGAGCGGATGAGGGGAAGAGGGGGGTGACCGGAGGAGTTGGGAGGGGATAGGGTCCAGGGGGCAGGTAGTGAGGCGGGCTTTTGAGAGGACTTTGGCGACTTCCTCAGTAGTGACAGGGCTGAGGGAGTGCAGTGCTGGGGGGGGGGGTTATGGTGGGCGGGCATTGGGAGAGGAGGGGGGGGCAGTGCAGTTGTGAGGGCAGAGGAGGGGGGAGATGAAGGGGGTGACGGGGGCGAGGAGGCTAGGTGGGGAGGTAGATTGCAAGTTGACGATGTCCTTACGGATAGCGTCAATCTTGTTGTGGAAATGGGTGGCAATCTCGTGGGCGGTGAGAGAGGTACTGAGTGGAGGAGGGGGGGGGGGGGAGAGCAGGGAGTTGAAGGTGGAGAAGAGTCGGCGGGGGCAGGAGGAGAGGGTGTTTATTAGGTTAACAAAGTAGGCCTGCTTGGCGGCGTGGAGGGAGGAGGTGTAGATAAGAAATGCAGATTTGTAGAGGGAGAAAGTATGAGGGGACCTGGTTTTGCGCCACAGTCTCTCCAGTGCACGACTGCGACGTTTGAGGCGTTTAGTGCTGTTGGTCTGCCAGGGTTGAAGCGGTCTGGGTTTGATGCGTGTGGTTAGGGGTGCCAGAGAGTCTAGGGCAGCTGACAGTGAGTCATTGTACAAGGTGGTGGCTATGTCAGGACATGACAGTGGGAGGATGCTGTCGTGTAGGCAGTCGGCGGCAGAGTGGAGGGGGGCCGGGTTCAGGTTGCGGAGGTTGCGGCTGGTGATGGTTTGGCGTTTTTGAGGGGGGGGGGAGTTGGGGGAAGGGGAGATGGAGAAGGTGAGGAGGTGGTGGTCGGAGAGAGGGAAGGGGGTGTTCGAGAACTGGTTGAGGGTACAGAGGTGGGAGAAGACAAGGTCCAGGGTGTTCCCTCCGAAGTGGGTGGAGGATTGAGTGTGCTGTGTGAGCGCGAAGGAGGAGGTTAGGTGGAGGAATTGGGAAGTAGCCGGGGTGTTGTCGTTGATGGGGATGTTGAAGTCCCCGAGGATGATGGTCGGTAGCTCAGAGGAGAGGAAGAAGGGGAGCCAGGCGGCGAAGTCATCCAGGAAGCGGGCTATGGATCCGGGAGGCCTGTAGATCACTGCGATCCTTAGGGGGGTGGGTGAGAAGAGTCGGATGCAATGCGGCCTCAAAGGAGGGGAAGGAAAGAGAGGGTGGGTTAGGGAGGACCTGGAAGGTGCTAAGCAGTGATAGGAGCAAGCCGACACCACCACCTCTGCGATCGCTCAGTCTTGGTGAATGGGTCCAGATGAGACCCTCCATGGGTGAGTGCCGCAGGGGAAGTGGAGTCAGTGGCCTGTACCCAGGTTTCGGTGACTGCTAGGAGGTTGAGGGAGCGGGAGATGAAGAGGTCATGGATGGAGGTAAGCTTATTGCAAACCGAACGGGCATTCAGGAGTGCAACCGAGAGAGGGGGGATAGATATGGGGAGGAGGGGTACATGTATGAGGTTGAGGGGGTCGCGTCGGCTGGCGTGAGCAGGGGGGGCTCTAGGGGGGGTGTGAGGTGGTGAGGGGCCAGGGTTTGGGGAGATGTCCCCAGCTGATATGAGAAGGAGGAGGGTGAGGAAGGTGGCGTGGGAACGGGGAGGTATAGGAGCGCTTGGGTCTGAAAGTGGTGGCAAGTGGGTCAGCGGGGAAGTGGAGTAGCAGGAGGAGGTGGTGGGTGCCATAGTGGGGAGAGGGGAGAAGTGAGGGGGGCGATATAGAGCTGCTTAGCGGGGGTGGGTGGGTAGAGGAAGGCGGTTTTAGGGATGGAGGAGAGGAGGACAAGGAGGAGGAGCGCGGGCGGCATGTTGGGGGTGAGCGGGGTGCAGGAAGGGTCGGGGTGGGTGCTGGTCAGGGATGGCGAAGCAGTGTCCGAAACGCAGTGGGAGGTGGCTGGTAGTCCCAGGTGGGGTGGAGGGCAGGGGATCCCTGGTGGGATGGTGGCCGTGCTATCCCTGATGGGTTAGTAGCGATCCCTGGAGGGATAGTGGTTAAGGGTCCCTGGTGGTTAGGGTTTCCGGTGGGTGGTGGGATCCCTGGTGGGCTGGCGGTGGGATGGTGGTTGGGCTCCTGATGGGTAGTGGGTGCCCCTGGTGGAGTACCTGATGTCCTGGAGCGTCGGGGTGGAGGTGGATCCCTCCTATGTTAGGAGGAACCGTTGGTGGTGGTAGTAGCTTCCCCGGAGGAGCGGAGGCGTCCCGCTGCGATTCCAGCCACGGCCCGGCAGGAAACACCGCGGCTTCGGGTGCCGTGGTAGGCCTCAAGCCGCTTCGGACCGCCGGAGCTCCGCTGGAGGGACGGAGTGTCTGTGTCCCCTTCAGGGTGTTGGTGGGGACATCGGCAGCAGGCTCAGGGGCCCGGATGGCAGCGGATCGGGCGCGGGGGCGCCGGAGCTGATGAGCACGTGGCTGCTCCGGGCGAGCTGGTACCCGGTGGTCGGGAGGGATGGACCCAGGGCCAGTGAGGGGGGCCCTGGGGAGGCTGGCTGATCGGCGGGGACGGGGAACAGAGCAGCGGCGGCCTGGGCTGATGCCCGGCGATCCGGGTCGGCCGCGCCAGAAATCGAGGCCGCGGCTTCGGGTGCCGGGTAGGCCCCAAGTCCCGGAGGTCCGGGAAAAAGGTCCAGTGGCCTTACTGGCTGATGAGCAGGGACCGAAGGATCGTTGGGCCCCCGTTAGGGTCCGCTGCTGCCCAGATGGCAGCGGATTGGGGCCAGGGGAGCAGGAGCTCGCCGACGCACGTCCTTCTCGCCGGACGTCCGGATGATAAAAATATAATAATAATACATTTAATTAAATAATATAATCAAACCAAAAACACTGAAATGTGAAATATAGCGCCAAGTTTGCACATCGCTGAGCAAAGTCACAGAATCGTTTTCAGTGTCTGATGAGGAATTTCCCACACGAATCATTATCACTCAATTCTGCAAGTGGTTCTGATTTACTATCGCTGTTCTCTAGCCGATCTAAAACCGCTTTTGAAATAAAGGGACGCTTTTTGGACGCCATGGACGTTTCTCAGTTTCCAGGCAGAAAGAACAGTCAAAATGCAGGCAGGGGACAGGACAAAGCACTCGGGACAAAATGTCTGTGAAATGGGTTTGAAACAGCAATGTTTTACTATGTAATAATCATTTTTAAAAAAATGACTTTTTTTAAATTTTAAATTTGCCACCGGTTCTGGCGCCCGTACGTCCCGACCGGAACGCAGAAGCCGGATGCCGACATCCGGCATGGTCGGGGACGCTGCAGGGGACACATCGCGGGAGCGAAGGACAAGGTAAGCGCTGCAGGGACTCCCTGAGCAACGCCGCATGGTAAGCCTGAGTGTAGCTCGGGGTTACCGCTTTTGGTACTGAAACTTTACCCCGAACTACACTCGGGAATACCGACAGGGGGGTTAAAGGACAAGTTCAGCAACACTTTAACAACCTCCCAGTCCCCCTCCCTAGCCCTCAAATACATCAACCTAAACCATCCTCTGTAAAGGTCCCTATTACCTCCTCCTCCTCCAACAGCGTGGCCTCCAACTTTGTCAAAATCTCAGCTGGTAGAAATATAATGCTAGGCTGTTCTTTCCTGCACATGAAAACATTTGCTTTTTTAAAAACTTTACTTAAATGGCACTTCTTTTAATGCCATACAGGGAGGAGTGTTGCAGTGCATAGTAATGTGCAGCATTTTGACAAATCATATGTGTTTTTTTTTTTTTATTTTTCAGTTTATTGCAATGCAAGCCAAGGCAGCATGTTGGTGGGAATGGGCTCTGTACAACGTTAGTGTTTTTTTTGCCTCGCCACAGTGCGTTTTATTTAATAAAGCTGGACAGTGCAAAATCAGGCTCACTTCTGCAGAAAAAACAATCAGCTTTTTGGTTTTAATTGCCAAAGCTTAATTGAACAAGCTGAGGTTAGAAGCTAATTGGTTTCTATGCAGAAGTGAGCCTGATTTTGCACTCACCATCTTTAGTAAATGAACTCCAGTGCTTCTTTTTTTCAAGCAAACTTGACCTAAGCAGCTTTATGAGGGAAATTGAGAGCTAACACTCTGGCAAATTTTCACCAACAGTGAAATCAGGAATTGGGCCTTCCTGAACCATTGGTTCTTGACAGTTGACTGGAAGTTTCGCATGGGGAAGATGGCCGCCTTCACTGAGCAAGTAATGGACTCCATTCAAAACATCAGTGAAGTGAATTTCCATCTCTAATTGCTGTAAGGGCAGAGAACACACGAGACTCTCCTCTGTGAAATTACTGATGCAGAGACATTGTTTCTTAATAGTTTAGACAATTATTCCACATATGTTTTTCCCCAGTAATGAAGTTGACTTATCACTGAAAGAGAAACATTGAATTAACAGGGGAAAAAATAATGACTTATAATTACGTTTTCTTTTCAGGAACTTTTTAGGTTGGAAAATAAGTATAGTACAAGGTTAAATTATCATGAAATATTTTTTTTTAAGTGAGAAGACAGTGATATTGGGGCATTTTATAAAGCTTTTCTTTCCCTTTCCTTTCCTCTTTCCTTTCTTTTTTCCTTTCCTTTCTTCTTTACATTTCTTTTATTTTTCCTTTCATTTCCATTCCTTTTTCTTTCTCTTTCCCTTTCCTTTTTTTTTCCTTTTATTTTTCTTTAATTTCCTTTCTCTTTCCTTTCCCTTTTCATTCCTTTTCCTTTCTCTTTCTTTTCCCTTTCATTTCCTCTCCTTTCCTTTTCCTTTAATTTCCATTCCTCTTTCTTTCCTTTCATTTTCTTTTTGTTTCATTTTCCTTTCCTTTTCTTTCCCTTTCTTTCTTTTTTCTGTCCTTCCTTTTTCTCTTTCCTTCCCTTTCCCTTTTTTTCTTTCTCTTTTCCTTTCCTTTCCTTTTTATTTCCTCTCCTCCTTTTTATTACCTCTTCTTTTAATTTAATTTCCATTCCTTTTCCTTTCATTTCTTTCTCTTTCCTTTTTCTTTCCTTTTCCCTTTCATTTCCTTTCCTTTCTTTTTCTTTTCTTCCCTTTCTTTCCTTTCCCTTTCATTTCCTTACCTTTTTTTTCTTTCTTTTTCTTTTCTTTCTTTTTCTTTCCTTTCCCTTTCCTTTCCCTTTCCTTTTTATTTCATTTCCTTTCATTTCCCTTCCTTTTTCTCTTTCCTTCCCTTTCCCTTTTTTTCTTTCCCTTTCCCATTTTTCTTACCTTTTCTTTTTCTTTCCTTTTTCTTTCCTTTTCTTTTTCTTTTTCATTCCTTTCCCTTCCATTTCCTTTTCTTTCCCTTTCCTTCCCTTCCCCTTTCCCTTTTCCTTTTGTTCCTTCCCTTTCTCTTTCCCTTTTGTTCCTTCCCTTTCTCTTTCCCCTTTTTGTTTCCCATTTCCCCTTTTTCTTTAATTTCCTTTGTGGGAATTGTTAATATTGTCATTTGGTGGATAAGAAAAAAGTAGTTATTACCGAATGGGACTCGTTACACACTTAAACATTTTGCTGTCAGACTAGTGGGGTAGTATACCTTATTTCGTGTGAATGCGGGCAATTTTATATCGGCGAGACCAAACAGGAATTTTGGCGTTGCATTTATAACCATGTTCATAGCATGTAAATAGGAAATCGCTATCTCCCCATTGGTAGACACGCAGTATTAGTGCATAACTAGAGTACCTCAAGTCAAATTCATTGCTCTAGATCGGATACATATTCCTGACCGTGGGGGGGATTAGAACAAGAACCTCCTCCAATTAGAACATAAATGGATATATATGATGCAGGCTACAGTCCCTCCAGACTTAAATGAAGCTATATCTTTTCATCCCTTTTTTAAAGGGATTCATTTCTGGTAAAAACTGATGAATTCCCCTCTCTCAAACAAATGGGATTAGCTCCTAGGATACCTGTGACCCTTGGATTCACTCATGTTCTCTATTATCAATAGATTCTGACATTAGCCTGAATTAGGCGTTATTGAGGGGATGTGCACTATTACCATTTCGTTATATTGTATGTTTGAAAATGTGTATTACGTATGATATTTATGTTTTCATGTTGTTTTTCTTGGTTTTTGTTGTGTCTTAGATGAATTCCAGGATGACATTGGCCTTGTTTTGGTGGGTGAGCCCAGTGTTGAACATCCAGCATGAGACATGGATGGCCCTACGGGAGAATCTTCCCTGGTGTCTGGTCATCCCTAGGAGGCAATCTCCTGTGCCAGCGGTGTCTTATGACTGCCCCGGACATTGTGTGGTATCGTGTGCAAGCACCCAGTCTGGTTTGCGTCCTCATGCTGATCCTCCTCTTCTTGAGTCCCCCCACTGGTGCTCCTGGCCCTTCCCTTCTGACAAGTGCCCCAAGAGCAGACCTAAAGGGCCTGGTATGGCTTTTAGGGGAAACACTGCACACTTACATTTTCGTTTTTTCTTTTACTGCAGGGTCCCAGTGTCCCTCCTAACCCTCCTACCAGATCTAAAGGTCTGTTATAAAAATGTAATTAATTTTTTAAAACAAATGTTCAGTCCTGCTACAGCAGGTTCTATACATTGTACAAATGTGCGCCTTTTGCAGGTAGTGTAGCCTCCCTGGTGGTATTCCCGAGTGTAGCTCGGGGTAAAGATTTAGTACCACAAGCGGTAACCCCGAGCTACACTCGGGAATACACTGCAGCGTTGCTCCGGGATCTCTTCTTCACTTACCTTGTCCTGCGCTCCCACGATGTCCCCCCTGCAGTGTCCCCGGCAATGTCCTCCGGGCGATGCCGGCATCTGTCTTCTGGGTTCCATTCCCTGCGACGCTGGGACGTACGGGGGACGGAACTGGCGGGAAATTTGAAAATGACCAAAAGTGATATTCACTAAATACACTAAAATCACATAGTATAACATTCCTGTATCAAACCATTTCACATACATTTTGTCCCGAGTGCTTTGTCCTGCGCCCTGCCTGCATTTTTACTGTTCTTTCTGCCTGGAAACTGAGAAACGTCCATGGCGTCCAAAAAGCGTCCCTTTAGGTCAAAAGTGGTTTTAGACCGGCAAGAGAACAGCGATAGTAAATTAGAACCACTTGCAGAATTGAGTGATAATGATTCGTGGGGGAAATTCCTCATCAGACACTGAAAACGATTCTGCGACTGAGCTCAGCGATGTGCGAACTTGGCGCTCTATTTCACATTTCAGTGTTTTTGGTTTGATTATATTATTGAATTAAATTTATTATTATTATATTATTATTTTTTATGATTATTAAATTATCATTTATGATTTCGTGTTTCAAATTTTAACATACCCGGGGATGTTTACTAGACTCTTGTTCGGACAGATTCAGTGAGTTATTCCTAAAAATTACAGGCCTACAATAAAAAAATACATATTTCCATGCAAAAAAAGGTACCGCTTTGAGCACAGAAATATGGACATAATCAGACTGCTAGGGAGGTTAAGCCCCACCCCTCCCCCCCCCCCCCCCCCCCCCCCCCCCCCCCCCCCAGGCATGATATTTAAAGACATTCTTCATTGTTCTTTTACTTCAAGCAATAAAAAATGACTTCCTCTTTAAAAATGGCACTTTTTTTCACACTGATTCATGTCCCCCGTGGCAGTCCCCGAATCCCCATACCCCTTTTATGGCCAATAACTTGCATATAAGCCTTCAAAATGAGCACTTTTGAATTTACAAGTTCGAGTCCCATAGACTTGCATTAAGTTCAAAGTTTGTGGTCAAACTTTCGCTAGGTTGGAATGTTCGACCGCGAACCGAACATGGGGGAACATTCAGGCCCATCAATAGTGTGCAGGGCTCAGAATCGCATAGTGCAGCAATGGGCAAACTACGGCTCGCGGGCCGTATACGGCCCGGCAGACCTTTTAATCCGGCCCGCGGAGCTAGGCTCCTCTCACAGTCCGCCCTGAAGACCGGTGTAGTATGAAAATCTGTCTCCTATGAGGATCTGTCCCCCTCGACGTATCTGCGCATGTGCCGGAGATCGCCGATCGGCTGCTAATGCCTGAAACTGGCACATGGGCAGATACGTCGAGGGGTACAGATCCTCATAGGAGACAGATTTTCATGCTACACCGGAACGGCGAGAGGAACGCGCGGAGCAAAGGTAAGTGAATTGACACAGGGGGGACTTGGGGACTTAATGGGGGGGATGAATTACCATATAGGGGGGATGAATTACCATATGGGGGGGGGATGAATTACCATATGGGGGGGGTGAATTACCATATGGGGGGGGTGAATTACCATATGGGGGATGAATTACTATGCTTACTATTTGGGAATATTACTATACTTACTATGGATGACACATACACATCATTCATCTACTCTTGGTCCGGCCCCCGGGTCCAATATATGAACCCATTGCGGCCCTCAAGTCAAAAAGTTTGCCCACCCCTGGCATAGTGCAAAGAGTGCAGGGGTAAAAACTGTATAACATACAGAAACACGTGATACACAGAGTGCAGGGCTCATAAGTGCAAGTCGCACAGAGTGCAGGAGTAAGGGAAGGTAAAGCATGTGTAATGCACAGGATTAGGAGTCAGGAGAGGGTATCGCAGAGAATGCAGGAGTCAAATGTTCCTAATGCATACAGCCGAGGGTCCAGGAGTGTGCAACACACAGAGTGCAGGGGCAATGAATGCATGACTTACAGAGTACAGGAGACAGGAGTGCATAAAGCATGGAGTTCAGAGCTCTGGAATGGTTATTCCACAGAGTGCTGGTGTCAGGGGTCAGGAGTGGTTATCGCACAGAGTGCAGGGTTCAGGAGTACATGTAAATGCCCAGAGTGCAATGGGAAAAGATTTGTTATCACACAGGGGACAAGAGTTGTTATCGCACAGGGGACAAGAGTTGTTATCGCACAGGGGACACAGGGGACAAGAGTTGTCATCGCACAGGGGACAAGAGTTGTCATCGCACAGGGGACAAGAGTTGTCATCGCACAGGGGACAAGAGTTGTCATCGCACAGGGGACAAGAGTTGTCATCGCACAGGGGACAAGAGTTGTTATCGCACAGGGGACAAGAGTTGTTATCGCACAGGGGACAAGAGTTGTCATCGCACAGGGGACAAGAGTTGTCATCGCACAGGGGACAAGAGTTGTCATCGCACAGGGGACAAGAGTTGTCATCGCAGGGGACAAGAGTTATTGCGTAGTGCAAGACAGTGTAATGCACAGAGTGCAGGGTACAGTAGTGCATAATGTGCAGAGCGGTGGGGGGGGGGGACAGGAGTCAGGAGTGTTATCACACAGAGCTTAGGGGTCAGGCATGGTTATCACACAAAAATGCGGGGTCAGAAGTTGTTATCGCACAGAGTGCAGAGATCAATAGTTATCACACTGGGGTCAGTGGTGTGGTGAGGAGTGGTGGGGTTGAGGATTGGTTATCACGCAGAGTTCAGGGTTCAGGAGTGTGTAATGCACAGAGTGGTGGGGGTGAGAATTGGTTATACACATAATTCAGGGGTCAGGAGTAGTTATTGCACAGAGTGAGTTGCAGTTGTCAAGATGGTGTAATGCGCAAAGTGCAGGGATCAGGAGTGGTTATCACACAGGTGTCAGAATGTAGGGTTAAGGAGTGGTAAGTGCACAGAGTGGTGGGGGTGAGGATTGGTTATCACTCAGAGCTCAGGGTTCAGGAGTGTTATCACGCGTAACGCACAGAGTGGTGGGGGTGAGGATTGGTTATCACAGGGGTCAGGAGTGGTTATTGCACAGAGTGCAGTTGTCAAGCAGAGCTCAGGGTTCAGGAGTGTAGTGTAAGTGCGTACAGCACAGATTGGTGGGTTCAGGAAGGTGAGGATTGGTTATCACGCAGAGCACAGAGTGGTGGGGGTGAGGATTGGTTGTCATGCAGAGTTCAGGAGTGCGTAATGCACAGAGTGGTGGGGGTTGGGATTGGTTATCACGCAGAGCTCAGGGTTCAGGAGTGCGTAATGCACAGAGTGGTGGGGGTTGGGATTGGTTATCACGCAGAGCTCAGGGTTCAGAAGTAACGAGTTGGTTACGTAGCTCAGGAGTGTGGGATGAGGTGTGGTGTGAGGATTGGTTATACACAGAATGTGAGGGGGTCAGGAGTGGTATCATTGCACAGAGTGCAGTTGTCAAGACGGTGTAATGCACAAAGTGGGTGAGGGGATCAGGGAGTGGTTATCACGCAGACAGGTGTTAACGCACAGAATGTAGTGTTCAGAAGTGCGTAATGCACAGAGTGGTGGGGGGTGAGGATTGGTTATTATGCAGAGCTCAGGGTTCAGGAGTGGTGAGGATTGGTAATGCACAGGAGTGTGTAAGCACAGAGTGGTGGGGGGGGTGAGGATTGGTTAGTGTCACGCAGAGCTCAGGGTTCAGATTGGTTGTGCGTAATGCACAGAGTGGTGGGGGTGAGGATTGGCTCAGGGTTGTCATGCAGAGTCAGGGTTCAGAGCTCAGGGTTCAAGTGTGTGTAATGCACAGAGTGGTGGGGGTGAGGATTGGTTATCACGCAGAGCTCAGGGTTCAGGAGTGTGTAATGCACAGAGTGGTGGGGGTGAGGATTGGTTATCATGCAGAGCTCAGGGTTCAGTAACGCACAGAGTGCGTACGCATGCTCACAGAGTGGTGTAACGCACAGAGTGGTGGGGGGTGAGGATTGGTTGTCATGCAGAGCTCAGGGTTCAGGAGTGTGTAATGCACAGAGTGGTGGGGGTGAGGATTGGTTGTCATGCAGAGCTCAGGGTTCAGGAGTGTGTAACGCACAGAGTGGTGGGGGTGAGGATTGGTTGTCACGCAGAGCTCAGGGTTCAGGGTTCAGTGAGTGTGTAATGCACAGAGTGGTGGGGGTGAGGATTGGTTATCACGCAGAGCTCAGGGTTCAGGAGTGGTAATCGCACAGAGTGGTGGGGGTGAGGATTGGTTATTATGCAGAGCTCAGAGTTCAGAAGTGTGTAATGCACAGAGTGGTGGGTGATGGGATTGGTTATCACGCAGAGCTCAGAGTTCAGGAGTGGTTATCGCACAGAGTGCAGGTGTCAGGAGTGCGTAACACAGAGAGTGCAGAGGTCTGGAGTGTATAATGCAGACAGTGTAGGAGATAGAAATAACACACAGGCAAGTGTACAAATACAACCAAAAATGACCCAGTACACATACCCCCTTCTAAACATACCCCCTTCTCCCAAGCTCATATCCTCCACACTACCAATCTCCTCCAACAGTCTCAATTCCCCAAGAATGATTTTCACCCACAGCCCTAAACCCTCCTCATTGCCGACACTCCCAGCCCACCCCCTCTGTGCAGATCACCCCCTTGGCCAAACCTCTCAATACAGACCCCCCCCCCCAGGTACAGTTTCTCCTCTCAGCCCAACCCAGAGGCTGCCAGCTCCCTGACAACCAGGAGTCCTGAGCTAGGTATGTTTAGCAGCAGCAACAATACCACTTGTTACCACAAATGTTCCATTTCCCTATGCAGCTGGAGGATTGGCCCAGCTAAACGAAGAGGATGCAGAACCCCTGACCTCTGTCTGGACAGTGCTGATCACATGCACTCTCCCAAGAAAATAAAAACCTCTCTAGCAATACTCACCAAACTGAGCATGTGCAGCTTGCCCCCAAGCCTCTGTTCTATCAGGAGATATTTAGGAGACACTGGAAGAAGGAGAGGATCAGAGAAGACAGGATCAAACATCCTTTTTGCACAATGCAGAGGATTAACCCCTTAGGTTCCACAGTGAGTATAACAAGCATGCTTTACATATACAGACTGATTGTACTGTGGGGGGTTTAGTAACACTTTAACACTGACAGTTAAGGGGTATGTATGGAGTAGGTGATGGGGACTTTTTATCTAAACCT